GCTCATCGCCTGCAACCATGGAGGCTGGTAAAGCTGTGGATGCATATGGTTCTCAACCAGGACACATAACTCAACAGAATGACGGTGTCCAAGCATATACTCAAGCACTAATGGAAGGGATTGAAACCTGGGTGGAACTTCCAGTTGATAGATGGCCCAAACATTGGGTAGGCAAGTATAGACGCCCCGTTGTACTCCTTCGCATTGCCTTATATCACCCTGACTCGGGGGGGCTTTGGGAGATTCACTGCGAAAGGATGCTCATAGCGGTGGGGTTCATTATGCCTGACCCGGAAGGGTGGCCATCAGTGTTCTTTCATCCTGAATTGAAGCTCCTCTTGGTAGTGTATGTAGATGACTTCAAAATGTCAGGTCCTAAAGAGTCGATGCCGAAAGGATGGGAGTTAGTTGGATCCAGAATCGATATGGATGTCCCCACTGACATTGGTCGATATCTTGGATGTGATCATGTTCAAGAACTTCAAGTTAAGCTGACGGTTCATGATCACCCTTTCGCTCACCTCTTCGACAAGTCCCTTCCTGATCCCGCCGCCAAGGAGGCCGCAGCAGCGGAGAGGACACAGGACTTTTGGGAAGTTGACGCATCCAAAGGAGTCTACATCAGACATCACTGTCAACCAAGAAAGGGATTTTACGTTCCAGACGAAGAAATCATAACTGCATGTAACTTGACTGATGTTAGGTTCACTGACTTTGTGCAAAGCACGTCGGAAGACGATGCCGTTTCTGAATGGGACAAGTACCTTGACGAAACGGGGGGCTATGCACAAGGGAGGAGAAAGCCTGCATTATGGGTAGGTGCCACTTACCTATTTACCAAGACATGCAAAGATCCCAAAATTGCAGTTGCATCAATTAAAAGAGATAAAAACGATGCCAAGAAGAAAGCGAGAGCTCAAGGTTTCAGATACATGGACCAATTGTTCAAAGATCAACCTTGTATGTCCAAGCCAGTGAATGTGATGACATATGATATGCAACCCTTTTTGCAATCATGTATTGACCGATACCAGTCACTTGCCGGTAAAGACGCCAAACCCCTTAAGCAGGTATCCACTCCTTTTCATGAAGAGAGGATTGCAAGACCTCTGGAAGGGGAGTCCGAACCGAAGGGTGCACTTGCTCCAATAGCTGCAAGGGTTTTAATGAAGATCCTATTTGCCGCCCGTATGGCAAGATACGACTTGCTTAGAGCAGTGCAAGGACTAGCAGCTAGAGTAACAAAATGGTCCATAGATTGCGATAAGGCATTGCATAGATTAATCTGTTACATACATTCTACATTGGACCATAAGCTCAAAGCCTTCGTTGGCGATCGAATTCAAGAGTGCAAACTTTGGTGTTTTGCCGACTCCGATCATGCCGGTGAGTACGACAATAAAAGTACGAAGACTGTACGCTTAAAGTTATAAGACTTTACAGACTTAGCCTAGATATACAGAAGTTAAAGGATTTATGTTGGAAGTTAGCATGACTTATCAAAAAGATAAAAGGAAGTTATGTTAACTTTAATAACTTATTTGTAAGTTTTGTCTTAACTTTTCGTAACTTCTGCTAACTTTTTATAACTTCTGCTAACTTTTTATAACTTTTCATAACTTTTTGTAACTTTTTTGTATATTTTTATACTTTTGAAAGTCTTTGCCTTGGTTTCCGACCACGTGGATTTTATAACTGTCTTGTTTCTGAAAGAACTTTCAGATATGATATCCTTTTTTTGAATCGACGAAGTGATGTGAAAGCGTTTCAGTTATGTATGTTTCAGGAATCATGACACCTGAGGCGATATGTTTTTTTTTGTGATATCTCTGTCTGTATTTTTGGATCTGGAAACAAGTTTAGTTGCAACTGTTCCCGTTCGGGATCCGTCATTTTGTTAAAACGATCCCGTTCGGGACTTGGTTGTTTCAACCTCTCCCTTTCGGGATCTAGTCCGTTCCAACGTTCCCTTTCGGGATTTAGTTTCTTCAACCCATCCCTTTCGGGATCTGTTTTTTTCAAACTGTCCCTTTCGGGATTTGGTTGCTTCAACCCATCCCTTTCGGGATCTGTTTTTGTCAAACTTTCCGTTTCGGGATTTGGTTTCTTCAACTCATCCCTTTCGGGATCTGTGTGTTTCAAACTGTCTCTTTCGGGATCTGGCTGTTTTCAACTCATCCCTTTCGGGATCATTTATATTCAAACCATGCCAGCGACGCAAAAACTTTTTTTTTCTAGCTGGGGCATGAAACGCAGCTTCAATTTGGATCATTTCCTCTTCTTCAAAACCGAATGTGAAGCAACATGTGCGTTTTTACCATAGGGTGAGTAAACTGTTACCTGATAGTATCCAATGGGCGGGTCGATATACTTGCATCTCATTCCACATCATCCGAAGCAATTCAGTGTCTGCTCTGCACCATTCGAAAAGGCCAAATCCAATGACCCGAGTGGATTCAAATTTTTCCAGGACGACTGTGATGGTATCACCATGTTGTTCAAAGCATTTGATTCTTCCAGCCCAAAGCAAATCATGCTGGATCACAACATTGTCCACCTTCCACGTGACAAGGTTTTGTTTCAAAGTGTAACTTTGCCAGTGATTGGGTTTCACGAAGGTGCTTTCGCACAAGAAGGCCTTGCCAATGCTTTCGCTTGCCTTGTTCAATTCATTCACCTGTGTTAACAAGATGAGTCGAAGCATGCGTTCTTCGAAGCCTGCCAGATTCTGTCCGGAAGATTCGATCTCTCGTTTCAACATTTGATGCTTGCGTTCTTGCGTTTTTGTGTCCAAGCAGCAACCGAACTCAGTCCACGCGTCAGCTGCATGCAAAGAATAATGATGCTTCGGTCTAGCATGCTCACGCCCATAGGCTCGCAAAAACTGAGCATAATGGGCTTGCTGTTTGGATCGCAGGAGATCTCGGAAAGTGCTTCTTTGGCTCCAAGCTAAGACACATAGGGTATACAACCGTTCACAGAGAAGCATTTGTCCTGCAAGCGCTCCCAACGCTGTGTACCATGAATGTGTAGCATCAGCCACAAGTGAAGTAGCGGCATCATCATCATGTGCTCCGATCCAGACGCTTTCCATCCAACATTGGAACCAAAATAAGGATCCGACAGCAAGCGTTTCCGGGATTGCAGACTGACCGGATGGGTGGAGGAAATGTCCACTGCCGCACAATCTTGGATCTGGTTCCAATTCCAGCTCATCCCATCTGACAATAATGCCTGGACAAACAGCCCAACCTCCACAGGCGCGATGCCACCTGAATTCCAAAAACAATGCAATAAATCAAACGTCGCAGTGGATGGACGTACAAAATTTCTCAAGTCATGTTGGGCCAAGAGTCCGTCTGGAGAATGAGTGAAGCCGATGTTTCTTTCTAATTCTGCGAACTGTTTTTTCGATATAGTTCGCTGCTGTTCTTCCAAATGGTCCATCGATTGCCACACATCTTCATCGGTCATCCGATGAAATTCGGTGATGTTGGGACAGCAAATATCCCGAAAATAGCTTCCATCGTCCAAACCTAGAGTCGCGCCTGCCAGTTTGGCAACACAGTTCTTGCATTTCATGCACGGTCGTCGACCAGAGGCGCCTTTGCAACACCACATTGCATGCATTGCAGACTCATCCATGATGCATCCTGCTAGTCTCACTGGAAAGATGCGAATGGTGCCATCTCTCAATGTCACTGGCCTGCCATGGAAATTGTCTGTCCAGGACTGAAATAATTTTGCCAGGCAGTGACTCAAACCTCCAGTGATCCCCTTGATGATCTGCGTACGCAAGAGTGCGATAGGCAACCAGACAAATTCCGAATGCAGCAGTGATCGCCATTCTAAGAAACTTATGTAAAAACAAACGCTGCGTCGAGTATTGTCCGGATGAAGCACATTTCCGGGCACAATTTCATCATGATAGAATAGAAGCTGGAGAAACTTTCCGTCAACATGCTGTCGTAGCAATGTGTCAAACTTGTCGACATTGTCGACAAAAAATTGTAAAGCCGCATGTGGCGTCATCGTATGCCAAGTCACAGAAGATCCATCATCGCATGGCAATGAGATGCAATTGCAGTATTGCTGCCGCCAATCAACACGTCTTCTCTTGTTCAACTGTCTCACGGACCCAGTGGTCACAGAACTAGACAGCAGGTTTTCTTCATGCAATATGTCGATCACATCAATCACCGTTCCGACATTCGCACCTCTGCGAGCACAGGCGCTAGCTGCAGCATTGCGCAAGCGTCGCGCTTCATCTCGTTTGAGATGTTGCTGGCTCATCTACTATAGGCTTGATTTGTGCTGTGGAAACTGACTATCCTTGAAGTGGTTAACAGGTCAAGCAATGTGGCATATGCGTCCTTGGGGTCGCTATGAGTGCCACTCGTACTTGCAATTGGCATGGCAAATCACAGGCTGCAACACGCAAAGGCTTGAAAAACAATTTAACCATGTGCCTTTTGTTGACGGATGCCGTTCTCTATATCGGACATTCTGTATGTTTCAAATTGTCCTTGATCAAGCTGGATCTCTTCGATACCAAGTATACCTTTGTTTGTCTATCACGTCTATCCCTTTCGGGATCTTGTTGTTTCATTGTAACCCTTTCGGGATTTGTTTTTTTCAACCTATCCCTTTCGGGATCTGGTGATTTGAACCCATCCCTTTCGGGATCTCGTTGTTTCAACCCATCCCTTTCGGGATCTGATTATTTCAACCCATCCCTTTCGGGATCTGGTTGTTTCAACCCATCCCTTTCGGGATCTGATTACTTGAACCCATCCCGTTCGGGATCTGGTTGTTTCAACCCATCCCTTTCGGGATCTGATTATTTCAACCCATCCCTTTCGGGAGCTGGTTGTTTCAACCCATCCCTTTCGGGATCTGATTGCTTGAACCCATCCCTTTCGGGATCTAGTAACGTGATACATCCGGAAAACGTTCCTTTTTTTCCTCTCCGCTTCAAGCAACACAGCTGTCGCTTCGATCTACTTGTCCTCTTTCGGAGTTGGCTTGGCCTTTGGCGCCACATGATACAACAAATCTCTGAAGGCCATAGTTGTCTTCAGCAAAGCCTGCAGAGACTCCTTCAGGCGCAAGTGATCAATCTCCGTATCAAGAGTTGCCTCCACGATGCCCTCCGTTGCCTCGATGCTTTCCTGCAAGATCTTTTGGCCATCTTTGAGAGCTACCTTGTCACTCGAAGTCTCGATGGAGGACCGGAACTTCTGGGAGACACTCATCGCCTGCATGGCGTCTTTCAAGCCAGCACTGATGTTCTTTTTGATGCCTTTGTTGGCTGTGTTCCAATTAACGACAAGGCCAGCTCCCGAAGCCTTGCCTCCTCCTTTGCCACCAACTGAGAGAGCGGAAGACGGCTGGCTCCCGGGCTTCCTGACTCTCTCCATTCCCATTGCTGTGTTCCGAAACACAGTAGCTTCTTTGTGTTGATTTGACACATGATCCTTGAATTTCTCCACGCGGTACTGTTTCACATTCTCAGCGGCAAGAGCTGGATTTTCATGGTCCCTCTCAGGTAAATCCTTGATCACCAGAGGCAGGTGAGGATCGTCCAGCTGCATACCCTCTTGCTGAGCGATTTGCTTCAGTGTCATCCACCGGCCGCTTGTAGTCGAGCCTTCCATTCTTGCTAGCTCAGTCTCTTGAGCGATCTCAAATCGGAAACTCAAGGTGCGGTCAGCAATGTATTTGTTCAAAATGGCTCTCTTGTCCTCAGTGCTGCCTGCACTATATCGCTGTGCCAGTTCGTCTATTCCAGCCTCTCCCGATCGAGCTTTCAAGACATGTTTGAGTTTTTTGATCTCTGCCACAGGCAACGGATTGGCTGACTTGGGCGGCATTGCTTTTTTTGTTATATCTGAAGCTGTGCCAAAGGTGCTGCAGATTTTTTTCTTCGTGTATATTTGTTTTGTATGAACTATAGCGATTTTTGTCTCCAGTGTAACTATTTTTATCTGAACTATAGCCATTTTTATCTGAACTATAGCCATTTTTTATCTGAACTATAGCCATTTTTATCTGAACTATAGCTATTTTTGTCTGAACTCTAGCTATTTTTGTCTGAACTATAGCTAGTTTTGTCTGAACTATAGCGACTTTTATTCTGAACTATAGCTAGTTTTGTCTGAACTATAGCCATTTTTTTCTGAAAGACTAATATTTTTGTCTGAACTATAGTCATTTTTTTTTCTCAACTATAGCCTTTTTTTTTGAACTATAGCTATTTTTGTTTGAACTATAGCCATTTTTTTTTCTGAACTATAGCCATTTTTATCTGAACTATAGCTATTTTTGTCTGAACTATAGCTATTTTTCTTTGAACTATAGCTATTTTTGTCTGAACTATAGCTGAACTATAGCTGAACTATAGCTGAACTATAGCGGAACTATAGCGGAACTATAGTGGAACTATAGCGGAACTATAGCGGAACTATAGTGGAACTATAGCGGAACTATAGCGGAACTATAGCTGGAACTATAGCGGAACTATAGCGGAACTATAGTGGAACTATAGCGGAACTATAGCGGAACTATAGTGGAACTATAGCGGAACTATAGCGGAACTATAGCGGAACTATAGCGGAACTATAGCGGAACTATAGCGGAACTATAGCGGAACTATAGCGGAACTATAGCGGAACTATAGCGGAACTGTCGCGGAACTATAGCGGAACTATAGCGGAACTATAGCTGAACTATAGCGGAACTGAACTATAGCGGAATGAACTATAGTGGAACTATAGCTGAACTATAGCTGAACTATAGCTGAACTATAGCTGAACTATAGCTGAACTATAGCTGAACTATAGCTGAACTATAGCTAAACTATAGCTGAACTATAGCTGAACTATAGCTGAACTATAGCTGAACTATAGCTGAACTATAGCTAAGCTGAACTATAGCTGAACTATAGCTGAACTATAGCTGAACTATAGCTGAACTATAGCTGAACTATAGCTGAACTATAGCTGAACTATAGCTGAGCTATAGCTGAACTATAGCTGAACTACTGAACTATAGCTGAACTATAGCTGAACTATAGCTGAACTATAGCTGAACTATAGCTGAACTATAGCTGAACTATAGCTGAACTGTAGCTGAACTATAGCTGAACTATAGCTGAACTATAGCTGAAGTATAGCTGAACTATAGCTGAACTATAGCCGAACAGCTATAGCTGAACTATAGCTGAACTATAGCTGAACTATAGCTGAACTATAGCTGAACTATAGCTGAACTATAGCTGAACTGTAGCTGAACTATAGCTGAACTATAGCCGAACTATAGCTATCTAGGTACATTTATAGGGGAAAGGTATCAAATCGACGAATTAATCCTTTTCAGAAACTGTCTTCTCAGACCGAATCCTTCTCAGGAATTGTCATTTCAAACTCTTTCCTTTGCAGGAACTGTCTTCTCAGACCGGATCCTTCTCAGGAACTGTCTTCTCAGACCGGATCCTTCTCAGGAACTGTCTTCTCAGACCGGATCCTTCTCAGGAACTGTCTTCTCAGACCGGATCCTTCTCAGGAACTGTCATTCCAGACTATTTCCCTTTCAGGAACTATCACTTCAGACTCTTTCCTTTTCAGGAAGTATCTTTGCAGACCATATCCCTTGCAAGAAGTACTTGTATATGATACTTGGTTTAATCTAAAATGATCAAACCAAAGAAGTGGGGCAGCACACGCAATATGCCTTTTTTTCATCATCCAGGCTCCATGTTCAGAGTTATTTGGCGCCGTGCGATGTGCCAAAGGTTCCTAGCATTGGAGGCACAGGAGCCTTGGAGCCACCTTCGCCATGAGCAGGTACAGCGGCACCACCAACCACAGGCGTTGGTGTGGCTGGTGTTGTAGAAGCATTCGCAGCAGCATGAGGAAACATCTGCGATCCTCCTGCGACTGTGACTGCGGGAGCTGCGGCACCATGCGAAGCAATATTCCATGGCGCAGTGGCTCTTTCTTGCTCTTTGGCATGCCATTCCTGATATTCCCAAGCATGCCACGGGCCATACTCCTTTCTGTACGCCTCCGCATCAGCGTCTCGAACAGCCGCAAGGTCATCCATCATCCTGGCGTGCCATTTGCCGTAAGTTTCTCCCTGTAGGGGCACTGGAATCGTCGATGAAGTCAATCGACGATGTAGGTGTCGCAGGAGTTCGCGGTCCTGCCGCGCTTGCGGCTTGTGGTATGGAGCAGACATGGTTTCCTTGATCCCAAAAAATCACGGACAAGAAATATGTTGTTACATGTCATGTCAGATTATGTCGATGACACTCCCTAACGGGAGCTGCTGTTGCCAACCAGATCCCTTTCGGGAATTGTCTTTCCAGACAACATGACAAAGTCTGACGTTCGAAATCGTTCGTTTGCGGAAACCTACATGTAGACAGCTGGTCCATTTTGCCCGAAATACCGCTGCAAAGGCTTGAAGAAATTCTATACATTTGGTATGGAATCATTGTGATTCCAACAGATTTGTCAAAAGCTGGGAGCAGACATGATGCCCTGACAAACGAGGATATCTGTCACTGTGGAACGCGCGGAGGACGTCACGGAGCCAGCGCCGTCTGTCTTCCAGCGATAAGTCGGGCAAGCACACTTCCAAGAGAGCTTTCAGATATTGCACCTGTAAGTCCTCCGGTGATGGCGTGGGTTCAGCTTGCGGTTCTGTAGGTGGTTCCTGCCGATCACCGCAGCGATGACCATGCGCAATGGCACTGCTATGTTTGCATTCTTTACAACAAAAGCGGTGCATTCCAAAGGCAAGGCGCTGACAACCATGGCTAGCACATGTGGTTGGCGCATCAGTGCGGAAATACCTCGGCATCTTCTCTGCAGCTGAAAGAAAACCCTGGCAGCGAGTGAAGATACGACCTCTCTAATCAACTCCGGCATTAATATTGACTAAAACAAACACATGTTTAGACGCAATTCCGTTCGGGAAATGTTTTTCCAAACTATTTCCTTTTCAGAAATTGTTTTTCCAAACTATGTCCTTTTCAGGAATTGTTTTTTCAGACTGGATCCTTTTCAGGAACTGTCTTTTCAGACTTCATCCTTTTCAGGGAATGTCTGTTGAGAGTGGATCCTTTTCAGGAACTGTCTTTTCAGACTTGATCCTTTTCAGGAACTGTCTTTTCAGACTTGATCCTTTTCAGGAACTGTCTTTTCAGACTTGATCCTTTCCAGGAACCGTCTTGTCAGACTTGATCCTTTCCAGGAACTGTCTTTTCAGGCCCAATCCTTGTCAGGAAATGATCCTGTTCAGGACGTGTCTTGTTCGAGTTTCATCTTCTAAGCAACTCCAGATTGGGACATGCAGACATGTCGATGCTAACGGGCAAAGAGAACGGATCACTTTTCACCTACGTGAAAGATGCAAAGAAAAGTGCAGGCAACGGAAGGTAAATTTTGAATTTATGCCATTTGATTGCAGTCAATCAATGGCCGTGCCTCATTGCAGGAAACTAAGCACATTCAAAAGTCGAACCCTTTCAGTGCCCAGCAGGAACGGGTGCACCAAGGACGATTTCTGCATCGACCACAGCCACCCTGATGAGCGCGAAGCAATTTCAATGGAATGCCTCCAGCACGACGAAGTTCAAAGTCTGCCTTCAACCGATCGGCTCGACTTCTCGTCACCTTGGTCTTTGCTACCTGAGACTTCTTTCCGGTGCTTTTCTCGTTCCCTTTCGTGACCTTTGTAGATTTCTGTGGCTTGGATTCCTTCTTGGCCTTCGGAGTAGGCTTCTTCGCCTCCTTCTTGGTCGTTTTCACCGGAACGGATTCCTCTTCGGCTGGTTCCTGCTGCTCTTTGGCCTCCATCTTCTCCACCTCCTTGGCTTCTTTCCATTGCTCTTCCAGTAGCGCAGCTGCAGACACAGCACCAACCGAAGTTGCCTCGGGGGGTGTCACAGCAGGAGCCGACGACCCCGACATGCCCGGAGTTTCCGGGGACGTCAGCGGCATGGGGAGGGCTGGTGGCGCGGAACGCTGCGGCGGCGCTTCCAAAGCTAAAGTAGGATGTTCCACCTGCTGGGTCTTGCCATGCCGAGCACACCATCGAAAACCTGGTATTTCAAGCTCTCCTTCATCCACATCCTGCAAACCAGGCAGCAGGGTCAGCAATGCAGGGCTAGAAGAAGCTAGGCTTCGTAGTTTCTGCATCTGTTGCCGTCCTTTGCCTTTCGTGACATCATGCAATTGCCGGTTGGTGTTCCTCATGGGAATGGTCACTGCCCGAGCGGCCACCTGAGACAAGTTCAAAGGACATTGTCCAACCGGTTCTGCTCCCAGAGCACGTTGAAGCCAACGAGGATCCATCTGTGCTGGATTTGTCGGCAATTTCTCGACATGCGGCAATGCATCTGAAGTCCCTGCGGCAGCAACGCTCGATCGAAGCTCCTTCTTCACCAAGAGAAACAACTCGTGCAACTGCACGGGTGACAGGGAGCACTTCAATTCTAACTCTCTTCCACCTGGACATGCCAACAGCAAAGCAGTCATCATCTGACTTGTCGCCTCGGACGGAGTCCTCATGCCCAAAGTCGTCGCGAAGACGCCAAGCAGATTCGCTTTGGCTTGGAAAGTGAGATCAGCATTCATCAGGTGCTCCCAAATGCTCTTTGGAAGGTACAAAATGACATTGGTGTAGTCTTGCATAGTTTGCCTGGAAGTTGCTGCAGCACGTGCAGAAAGACCATTCTGGATGGCTAATGCCAAAGAGCTTCGTTCCGTCTCATTCCAAATGGCCTGGCGCTGCAAGAGCTCCAATGCTTCAGAGCCTTCAGAAAGCGACCAACTATGCCGACCAAATTGACACGTCAAAGAAGACA